GGTGTTGCATGAACGAGATTGGCTAGCGTCTGTGCTAGAGTATTTGCATAAGGAGATCTGATTGGCTGACGCCTGCATTGGCGCTTAAAGTTGAAAAATTTTCAACTTCTACTGCGAGCAACGCCAGTGACGCGACACAACAGACCCACAATTCAGTTCGGCAACGCTTGACGTCACTCCATTCAAAGTAAACAAGAGGCGTTGACACCGACGCGTCGTGTGAATGTACTGTAAGACCTTTGCTCATCTTCGGAACACAAATTAAGATATTTTTGATGAAATCCGAGAGTCTTCTGACCCTGCATAGACAGCAACACAACTATCACATTCAAGGCACAGAAAGGTAGTAAGGACATCTTTAAAATAGTGCCATCAGTGGTTCAACCGTAATTGTATGAAGCTACGAGAATACTTTTTGTGCTCAAAGAAAACTAAAATAACGACTTTATTCAACAATTTCTTCCCTTCTATGTTAGTCTTTGACACTCGTTTACGAGAGTACCATGATGCATGCGTGTGGTGGTGCTGACGCAGGAGCCGACATTCTGATGTAGAATCACTGCGGCCTGTTTACAAGCAGAGGAATGAACCGCTGATGTCACATGGACTATTTTAACAATGTTCTTACTACCTTTCTGGGCCTTGAATGTAGGAGTTCCGTTGCTGTCTATGCAGGGTCAGAAAGCTCTCGGATTTCATCAAAAATATCTTAATTTGTGTTCTGAAGATGAACGAAGGTCTTACAGGTTTGGAACGACATGAGTAATTAATGACAGAATTTTCATTTTTGGGTGAACTATCCCTTTAAAAAAAAAAGTTTTCACAAGTATTGTATTCAAAGTGGATGCCATAACAAATGTCAGTAGACAAGATTCAAAACCACTCAGTACACCACATAGCGAAACCCTGGCATTGTGGTGAGTTTTGCGCGGTCAGAAAATGTGAGAAAATTAAGTTCTAAGGGTTATTTTCGCTAATACTTTGGGCACGCTTTGTTTGGATTTGTTAGGGTAGACTGGTTACATTAGTTAGTTCTCACATTAGCTTTGTGACAAAATGCTTATTGGCTTTTATTCACTTCTGTTTTTAGTCACCCTCTGTTTTTGTTTCTTCCTTGTGCTCTCCTTCTGTTTCCAGTATGAGCTGTTTAACAGCGTGATATTGGGCTTGTTTAGAGTCTAATGAAGGTATGCAGACATGCATGTGGTTTTTCAGCTTCCTGTCTGTCACGCTCAGGGAGAGTGGAGCTGAACGATCAGTTCTGGTATGTACACTCATTACCCAGCATTCCTCAGCGAGCACATCACAAGGCAAGAAAGGAGCACCTCGCGTCCCTGTCATCGTTTCACACCCACTGCAACAGGCCTGGCATGTGGACAACACATTCTCGTTTAGCCCTTCATATTTCACTCTGCATTCTCATTATCACTCTCCATTCCTCTGTCCATGGTGCTGAAGTCTATTCTTTGAGCAAAGCGTCAGTGATTAATTGGTGACGGTTTCCCTGATATTCTCTCTCTCTCTCTCTCTCTCTCTCTCTCTCCTAGCTCTTATTTTTCCACCTATCTTATTGGCTGCTCTCTCCCCCTCCTAGTTATTTTACCTCTCTTCTTTCTCTGTAAGCTCATTCATTTTCTCTGAGTATAGACCAGAGCAGAGAACCGACACAAGTGACCTCTTCTTTTTTTATGAGGGTGAACTCATAGACAAGCTCACTCGCTCTCTCGCACGCTCCAGTTCTTTCGTTCGGCTCTGGCTGGATTCTTAACTGAGGAGTGAATCTCTATGCCAGCAGAGAGGAGGAGGGCTCTCTCCTGTGTGTAAGTAATATCATAGCATGTGTCCAGGCGAATTGGTTTTGCCTAGATAGATCGTCATACCCACTGTGTGTTGGATATATCTGTATTATATATTTAATTAAATATCTTCTAAGATATGTGAAGAATTTTTCTGCTGTGGTTCAGTAGACTTTGAGTGGTTAACGGAAGAAGTTTCTCTTGTGTATTTGTAAACGGTGGGTGGGTGTGTGTTATTTGTGTGGTGTGTGTTGTACGTCTCACCGCTGTGCCATGTCTCTGTGTGTGTTTTATCATCTCACACACTCCAGCCTGACCTGATTTACTACACACTGACAGATGGTGCATCTCTCTCCTCCTCATACCTCCATCCATCTGTCCTGCTATCCATCGTTCCTTCCTTTTTTAATGTCTGTCCGTTGGGCATTACAGTGTGATGTGGTTTGTGTGTGTTTATGAGAGAGAGAGACTGGAAACATGAATACGGGTTCTAATCTCCATTTTTTCAAGTACATGATCTGCATTGTGGTTGTTTATTAGTCTTTGCCTTTTGTTTCGTTTGTTACTCTGTATGTGTGTGTTAGCCCACAGGGAGACTCACTGTACAGTTGAGAGACTCTGTATGCTTGGATACACACTCAGCCTGGTTTCTACAACAGACGTAATTGATTATAAAACTAGCTGGAAAGGAGAAGAAAGAAGGGAAAAGGAAGGAGAGACATGCTTTGGTGATTTTACAATGTGAGGCGTGAATCCTTGTGCTGTTTATCTGTCCAGCCGTCCAGTAATTTACTCCCAGACTACAGTCTCAGATGGGATTACCACGCTTTCTCGTCTTGTCAAGTCAAGTCACCTTTATTTATATAGTGCTTTTAACAATACAGATTGTGTCAAAGCAACTTTACAGCTTTAAATAGGAAAATAGTGTGTCAATGCAAAAGGACACTCAATTTTCAGTTAAAGTCAGTTCATCATTGATTCGGTGATGTCATCATCCAGCTCAGTTCAGTTCAAATAGTATCTGTGCAATCAAGTCGATGATATTGCTGGAAATTAAGTGTCCCCAAAAAAACAAGCCAGAGGAGACCGAGGCAAGGAACCAAAACTCCCATCGGTGACAGAATGGAGAAAAAAACCTTGGGAGAAACCAGGCTCAGTCATGGGGCCAGTTCTCCTCTGACCAGAGGACTTCCTGGAGGTTTTGTGGACTTCCTGCCTTTCTTTCTTTTGCCTTTTGTCACTCTGTCTCTCTTCGTCTGTCTAATTCCTCCTCTTATCTTCTTTTTTCTGCATTCTCTCCCTATCTATGGCTTTTGTGAACAGTGTCTTGTGATATTGAGGTGGCAAGTCTGTCAAGTGCTCTTTGTGTCAGTCAAAACTGTTGCTTTATTCCCTGTGTCGTTTATCCAGTGTTGTTATTAGCTAAAACTATTATTGTTAGCTAAAAAAAAAAAAACGTATTCATTGAAATGTTGCTGTAATAAAATCAAATATAAATATTAGATGAAAAACTTCAACTTAAAAATTTATTTTATTTCAGTTACCAAGGCAATGTTTGTAGATCTCAAAGATGAAGTATTAAACTTGCTAAAACTGAAATAAAAATAAATTCAAACAAGAAAAAATAA